CAGAGGAAAACTGTTGGGGCAGGGCGGCCCACACCAGTATCGTTCGATTATAATTACGCACGTATCATATTTCTTTCCATGACAGCTGACGTGGCCAATGCTGCCATTCTGCGTCCATTTTCGGATCTGGATTAAGATGTGCTTTGCCTGTGCATTCCGATGGTCGTGAGGTTAGCACAAAGGTTAGAAACGGGGTTTTAGCACCAAGGCCTCCCGCTATGGATGGCCTCCCGCTCCGTGCTGCTTGGAGGAGGGACTGGATCCCCAGTGCGGTCTGCGCCCCCCCCCCCCCCCCCCCCTCCCCCACCTCAGCCAGGGCAAGATCATTGCACTGAGGAGACAGAAAGTTCGCATGGAACATTTCTTCGGTTTTTCGCCGGAAAACATAAAAACGGCAAATTAGTGTCTTCCGCCACACAAAAAGCAATAATCAATGCACGGGTGTGGGGCACTGGCTAACACCGCACATCTTAAGACGGAATTTTTTCCTCATGAACCAGCAAACATGACGATGTTTGACGCGGCCGGTTAGCAACCTGGTGTGACAAGTTGGGGGATGGTCCAGCCATGCGCTACACAGCCATTGTCGGCTGGCCAACCTGCTGCTGTGGTGGCGACCGATCATACCGGCACGGCGACTGATCGTCCCGGCACGGCCTGCTGTGGCGGTGACCGATCGTCCCGATACGGCCTGCTGTGGTGGCGACCGATCGTCCCGGCACGGCCCTGCTGTGGCGGTGACCGATCGTCCCGGTACGGCCTGCTGTGGTGGCGACCGATCGTCCCGGTACGGCCTGCTGTGGCGGTGACCGATCGTTCCGGTACGGCCTGCTGTGGCGGCCACCGATCGTCCCGGCACGGTCTGCTGTGGCGGCCACCGATCGTCCCGGTACGGCCTGCTGTGGTGGCGACTGATCGTCCCGGTACGGCCTGCTGTGGTGGCGACCGATCATACCGGCACGGCGACCTAATCGTCCCGGCACCTGGGTTCGCCATTGCTCACAGACCGGTCGAGGGCTGCTCCGTGCCTCAGAGGTCCGCAACGACTGCGATGGCGACGAAGGGGATGTGATACCGGCCGCCGCGGCCCGGGGTCGGAAAGGTCACCCATCCTGAATAGATAGGTCATGAACTCGCGGCCAGGATGACATCACCGCCGCCACGGGCGAGATCAGTGGGCTCCAGCCTCCAAAGGTCGGCTGCGGTTTCTGTGGGCGCAGTGAGGTCGTGCCCTCCCCTCAACGCCGCCTGTGACCGCGATGGGTGGAGTAAGTATATGCCTGCCTGCCTACCTACCCCCCCCCCCCCCCTCTAACGATTGGTTACGGCCCGGCTGGGTGGAGTGGGCACATGACATCAGCGCGGCCTCGAGCCGGCTCGGTGGGCGGCGCACACCGGTCCTCGGCCGACAGCGGCACGCCCGCCGCACCACGTACGCGTCCACGTTCCAAGGTGGGCCACGCTGTAGTGGTCGCGTCCCACACCCGTCTCGGCACGCCCAGCCCCGCGGCGCGCCGCTCATCAACAAGGGGCGCGACACCGCAGGCGCCAGGCGTGCAGCGTGGAGGCGTGCGGGATGCGCCAGGATGGACGGCGCACGCACGGACCTCGCTGCGAGGTCCGTGCGAGGTCCTCAGAAGAACAGAGAGCGGCGCCAGCGTAGTTCAATGTCAGTCCCAGACATGGCATGGGAAGAGGTGATGATGAAATTGACCCTTTTCCACTCCCCTGGCATTTACCCACCCCCGCAGGTCGGGCAATGCTCTGAGTGGCGCCAGCTACCGGTGACCGTCGACATATTCTTGCACTTTTTGCGCGTTTGGCAGAATCAAAGTTTATTTCGGCTGTTACCCATAACTCGGCACTGCTGGCTATTGGCGGGCTTAGACGAGGACTCTGGCCGACACGGCGGATCGCGTCATGTGCGCCGCCTTCAGCCACAGAAGAAGTAAAGTGCGAAAGAAGCAGGACAGCTTTTCAGACACAAATGTTGCATTCTTGTGATGATTTTTATGCAAATTTTCCACGTAAAGAACCTTACTTAACATCCGACTCGCATTCTTGCCGTCAACTGGACACCGCGCTTTGTCATTGTTTTGAATGCGCCACCTTTAGGCGAAACAGGCTTTTATCTCTTTCCCCAGTGTTCAGGGCGCTTGAGCCGTGAACCCACCTGATACCGGCGGCTCCCCTGCAGCCGGTCGGCCGGCGCGGCCGGCGGTCGGAGCTGTCGCCCGTGATTTGCGCTCGCGTCAGTTTCAGGGTCTGTGTCGGTTGCCGCCTGTGAGCGCGGCGGGCGCAGGGCCGGCCGGGGCCGCCCCGCCGCCAGCGGTCGGACGAGGGGTGGGGGCGGACGCCGAAGATCCGGCAGGGGCCCGCCCGCCCGCGTTGGCCGCCGCCGTGGAAATCGTCGAAACGGTGCCGACGCAGGCACCGGATCACGGCTCAGGAAAGTCCGACCGGCCCGGCCCAAGCGAATAAGGCGAATCACGCCAACGCAGGGTGGAGATTCACGCGAGCGGCACGGGGTCACCGATGCGGAGATGGGACACCCACAAATGGAGCGCAAAGAAAATGTCACAGCGTTACCGGGATGAAAACGCAGTCATAAAGGCGCTAAACGGTTTTGACCTGCATTCTCCGCAGCACCGGTAAAAGTCCTTACGTGCTGGACAATTTCGTCGGCGAGAACAATAGCTGTTATCACCTCACGTGCCTACGGATCATCGCACACATACACCCGCTTGACGAATAAGATGCTTGAAAGAAGGGCTTATTTGTGAGGACAAGATTAAGATGGCCAAACATGTGATCAAATGTCATGACATCATCACACATGTGCCTACTATTGGAGCGTTGTAATATTGCATCATACAAGCGCTAATGCAGGATTACCAGCTGGCACAACATTACTGACGTGCTGGAATGCATCTATTCCCGCTGATTGTGATACACCATACACGTGAAGCAGCGACCAATTTCAGCAGCTACTGACTTTTTACTGACCATGAAAAAGAAAGGCCTTCGCCTGCGTATAATGACATTATAAGTTTCCATGCTTAACATAGCCGACGTCCAGTGCAACAGCAGGTGCTCGTTACACGTAGCTGCCAATCATGAGACGAGTGAGAACGCTACGTTTCAAAACAGGGCTCACGGTTCCGAGTGGATGAGGCAAAATACAAACTTATGTTCAAAAAGCCAAGACACCCGAAACACGGAAATGTTCCGAACCTCCGCTGCCTTTACGACCACAAATATGTCAATATATGCAACCATTCAAGTTCCCAAATCTTAACATCTGGCACACGATAGTATGCCAAGGGCTACTGGAAACACACGTGGCTAAGCCGAAGAGTCTCGATGGCCTTTAACGAGCATACGGTCAGAAATGTACATACCAAGAACACCAGTGCAGTCATCCAGGCGTGCAAACCGTAAAACCTAAGACACGGGACCACGGTGGTACACAGCAGGCAGCTGAAATGTGCTACGGTGTAGTACAAAATCTACCAAGTAGTGCACAAAAAGTAGCGGTACGTGGGTAGTACGAAAGATTCGTCCGCACCGAGTTCAAGGACGGTAAGTAACTTGTTGCAGGACATCAGTGTCCAAAGCAAAGGTACACTTGTACCCAGCGAAAGGCAAGCAAGTAACCAGCTAAAGGACATCAGTGTCCAAAGCAACGTCTAGCGAACAGTTTCTAAACGTAAGTTACCTGACAAAAAAAAATCGCTCAAACCACGTCCTAGGACGAAATCTGTGTGTTTAGTACTGGGCAAAGATAACAAATGAGGAATGATTGCAGCACTTTAAGGTCCGCGCTATCTTGAGCAGTAGTAAAAATGCATGCTTAAAATTTGGATTTGCTACAATGAGCCCTAATCCAGCGTGCCTCTCAACCATATGTGTCCGCTCCCCGTAAACGTGCGTCTGCTAGGCGTTCATTAAACCAGCATCGAATGCTGCGCTTTGTTTCCCCTATTTCCAAGGCACCAAGGCCCGGGCGGTGGCCAG